GCGGCGTGGTGATACTTCTGCAAGCCATGACGCGCACGCTTCTGTTGCAATCGTGGCACGCGGCTCGCTGACGAGCTCTACTCGAACCGACCGAACCCCCAAGACCAGCCCTTAATGAAGGTGTTATCCTGCTCTCTCGGATGCCGCGTGCCTGCAGGACCACCAGCTTCTTGGAATCAAGACTATGGCCGCGCGGTCGATGAATGGCTCGGAGCTCCCCCTCTCCCTCCGTGGAGACTTGAGTATTAAAGCAATACATCGCCCCAAAAAATTACACTGTATTGCTGATGTACAGACAATGTTGGGATGTGTGCAGCTAGATTCCACCTCAATTTATGAGGCTCTGGTTCCCCTCCCCTCCCCGTCTCCCCCTCTCATCCCCTTCTCATTATCTTCCTTTGCCCTTCCCCCCGTACTGGTCGCTGGACCTTCGAACCCATGCCCAACACATGTTTTCGCCGCGGGATCTTTTTTTGGTGATGGTCCTGGGAAAGACGACTGCAAGACAGTACACCCGGACTGAGATCCGCCGACCTCCGCTTGCTGGGGGTGGCAAAGTATGTGAGATGATTCGCTGACCTTCCTCCCCCTTTCCGGCTCCCCTTGGGTCCAAAACACTTTCAGAAGGGTGGCCTGCCCCCTCCCCCCTGGGATGGGGAGACGAGCTCGCCAACGCACCTGTGGGGCACTCAGGGCCTCAAAACCAACCCTCCGTGGCGGCCAAGATGCCCCGAGATGCTGTCTAAGACTGCTGCAGAAGGGCTCCAACACGCCAGAGAGGCCTCAGAAACATCCCAGGTAGCCTCAAGACAGGCCAAGACGCCGAACAAGGGCCTGAAGAGGACCCCCAAGAGGGCACCAAGAGGCACACATGGCTGACCCCATGGGTTTTGAATGATTTTCGCGTTCTCGTCCTTCTGGGCGCCCGCTAACCCAAAACGGCCCGAGAGGCCACCAAGACTGACCCACGGCTGCCCAAGAGGCCCCCCAAGAGGGCCCAGAGCCGGCCCAAGAGGACCCCCCAACGGAGTCGGCGGAATGGCGTAAAGCACTTGAGTCCACGTCTAGAAGTGACGTCTTGCCAGAGGCAGGTCGCGGAGCAGAGTGTAAGCTCCAATGCAACGTATCCCGTACATCCAAGTATTGCATCATTTCTAGACGTGGTGCGTCTTTTTGAATCATTATGATTAGTAGTAGTAGTAGTAGTAGTAGTAGTAGTAGTAGTAGTAGTAGTAGTAGTAGTAGTAGTAGTAGTAGTATCACCATTCTTATTCTTATTCTTATTATTATTATTCTTATTATTTTAATATTATTATTCGTATTATTAGTATTAGTATTAGTATTGTTATTATTAATATGATTATCATCATTATTATTATTACTACTATTATTACTATTACTATTACTATTCGTATTAATATTATTATTATTAGGTCTCCCCCTAATCCCCCCCTGGAGTCGCGCCACCTCGGCGGACCAAAGTGCAGCCCCCCCTTTTCTGGGCCCCCCAGAACGACGTACCAAAATGTTTGGAACATCTATGATATTGACCTCTGAGGCCTCTTCGGTGTCCAAACATGGCATCCAGACGGCCCAAGGCGGCCTCCAGACGACGACTCAAGGTGGCCCCAAGGGGGGCCCAAGAGGACCCCAAGACGGCCCCCAAGAGCATCTCCAAAAGCCAGGAGCGTTGATTTCTTGGGTTTCAACCAGTTTTCGCGCTCTCGCCTTTTTCGACTCTCGGGGACTCGTGATGACCCAAGCAGCCTCCAACATGGCCCCAAGACGGCCCAAGCAGCCTCCAAGAGGGCCCTGAGACTGCCCAAGATGGCGCCAAGACGGTCCAAGAGGCCTCCATAACGGCCCAATCGGAACCCAAGCCAAGAGAGCCACACGGCGGCCCCCAGGGGCTTTATCTGGGCGTATCAGCTCCGAGGAGCAGGGTCCAAGCCTGCCCTGGGCCGATCAATGGCTGGGCCCGAGGCCCCCGGAAAGCATAGCCTTTCTTGCTCCTCCATTTCCCCTCTCCCCCTTGCTCCCTTGCCGTGTTCCTCCCCTCCTCCTCTCGTCCTTCCCCGCCCTTCCCCCTCCTCCTGTTCCTGATCCCCCCTCTTCCCCCTTCTCTTCCTTTCCGCCCTTCTGCCTTTCCCCTCCCCCCTCCCCTGCAGTGCACATCATGAAGATCACGACGCGAGAAGGTGCCCTGCGTTGCGGTGCTGGACGACATGACCAATGCTTACGACTGCTGCCAACACGAGCGCATGGATGAGGTCTTGCTATGTTTGCCTTGCGCTGATGCTGTTCTGTTGGAGGGTCGTAGACATTCTATATCTTGAGGCGGTCGATGGCCATGTACATCTGCACCCTCGAAGCAGGGCCTTGACGGGCGAGACGTCGGCTCGTGACGAATTTGGCATGGGCTTTGCAAAGCGTGTCAACGTGTGGATGCACAGGTCACTTCAGCCAGCGATGCAGGAGGTGGAGTGCCCAGTGGTCCCACAACCCATCGACGCCTCACTCAACAAATATGTTGACGATCTCCACTACTTCCTTTTGATGTCCAGGCTGTCTCATGAAGGCGGTCGAAGTCGTGGCTGTCGACCAAGCGAGTGCCGAGATCCTTGAAACATACGGCTACACACAGAACGTCAAGAAACAAATGTTGGTGCCGTCTCTCTCTCTCTCATGGTTATCACGATTACCGTCGTTTCTATGATGCCGCGCTTGATGGCGCACGAATGCTTCCATATGGTCGCTACATTATCGGGAACGCACTGACCCTGGTCAATGCAAAGCTAGGTCAATCGGTCTTCGCAAGATCCCGCAAGATCCTGCAGGATCCTTCGCGCTAGCCCGGGTCAGTGCAGCCCTGGTTTTGCAAGATCCTGCTGGATCTGGCGCTCTAGCTGACCCCCATTTACATTGACCCCCATCTCAAAGCTCCCGACCTTGGCCCATTCTATGTGCCTGCCGGTACGATTGGACCGCAGCTTCTGGTATCAAGGAATGTTTGTGCTCGTGGAGGGTGTGCCTGCAAATTGTTCTGGTCCAGTCGTGCGCCGTGGACGGTCAAACGACTGGTGTTCACTAGCGTGGTCCAGGGAGCCCTCATTCTCGGGTCTCACACCGTTCTGCCTCACGCCCTCTTAGGAACGTGAGTTCCACATCGTACTCTTGCGAACAATTCGTTCGATTGCTCAGGGTGCTGCGTGCGAGTGGACGGGTCCCCACCCGAAGGCGTGGAACACTAGGCGTACCTGGCGTTGGCTAGACCTCGTACCGTGTAAGTACGAACTGTTCATACAAATATTGCGTTGGTGTCGACGTATGGTTCAGGCTCTTGCTGTATTATTTAGTAGATTTACTTTCGAGGGGTATGATGCGATGCTTGACGGGGTTGTCACGAATGAGGCGAACCCTTAAGCCCAGCGTTTTGTGAGTGCTGTTATCTGTCTGCGCGCGTTCACCGACGTGGAGGACCGGGAGGAGAGGTGGGGGAGCTCGATCACCACCTTGTGCGAGGATGCGGATGTTCGTCACGTTTTTGAACACGGACGTCAACATCATACGGCAGCTTTGGAAACTCGGAAGGGTCGGGCCCATCGTTGACCTCGGTGAATTTCCTGATGAGGATGAAGGGTGGGTCTCAGCTGAGCTTCGATTTCGGTGCCGGCAGTCTACCAAGGAGGGGTGTGCCTGCGGGGCTGCGCTTGCTACACGTAAGGCCCTCACTATGCACAACACTTTCACGAAAGGGATTGCTCAGGGCAAAACTTCCAACTTGAACAAACGCGTCATTGCGAACCATACAGGGGGAGTGCCAAACATCACCTGAAAATAATCTATCGCACTGGCACGTGTAATGTAAGTTTAGCACGCGCCGTTCAGCCAGTGAACAGCGTCCCGTTGCTATGCCCAGTGTGTCGTGTCGGCCGTTGGTCAGAGTTGGCTCAGCTGCAATCCCACATTCGAGAAGAGCACCCTCAGCCTCCCCCTGCACCTCGCTTTGCTGGCGGAGCCCAGCTGGGCGATCAGGAGGAAGGAGCCCGAGGGTGCCGGCACAAGCTCCGCTGGATCAGGGGGTCCCCCTCAGCAGACGGCCAAATGAGGACCGCCCCAACCAATTCCCGCCAGAGCGTCAGGAGCCGCTCAAGGCAGACGGCAGCGCAAAGACAGGAACAACAATGTCGGCACACTCACATAATCGGGCGGGCACTAACATCAGAAGAACATCATCAGCGTCATAACTAAGTCAACCCTCGCATGCAGCCAGGCGATGCGGGACCTGTGGAGTCTCGGGACCGACGAATGGTTCGTGGACGCGACGTTGCCAAAGGTGGCCAAGGCTCAGACGGCGGGCAAGAGCTACAACGAATTAATCAAGTCGGTGGGTCGCGGCCACCAAAACCGTCCTCCTCACCTTCATATCTTCGGCGGATTCGTGAGAAGTCTCTTAGAGCGTTCGACCGCGCTCGGAACTCAGACCTGTGGAGACCTGGAGAAGCAGTACCAGAAGTTCCTGTGCATCCAAGCACTCGGGGACATGTCGTGAGGCCGTTCAGAATGACCAAGTGATTCGATCAAAACAAGAAGAAGGCGCAGCTGGCTTTGGCGGAGACCGACCTTACGCAATTCCTGGACGAATCGGGCGCGCCCTCCCTTCCTTCCAGCACGTGTTTGAGGGCTTCCTGAACGGTGAATGCATCCCACAAAATCCTAGCTTTACCAGGTTCAGCATCGCCCCGTTCCCTTCCCGACCGAAGGACCTCCCCTGATGCTTCTGCAGGTTAGGGTGGGGGCGAGGTGGAGTGGGATTGGGTGATTTGCTGGCTAGTCGGAAATCCTTTCTCTTCATTGCTGGCGGCGACTTCGATTTCCTTGTGTCCCCCAGTGTCGTGCTCTACTATTTGGACTGCTGCTACCCTATCCGTTCTATGGGGCAATGCTGTGCTGCACTTGATGGGCGTGCGGTGGCTCGATCTCCTTGTGTACTTCAGTGACTGGCAGTGGGTGTACTTCCTGGGCCTGCTGTGGTCCAATTGCTACGTGTACTTGCTGGGCCACCTGCGCTTTGGCACCCTCATCCGCTCGCTGGGCCACCTGTTGTTCGGCGTCGCCCTGTGCTTCTGCGCTGTTGTCGTCACCTTCGGCATCTCCGACAGCGGTTTCCGGGCCTGAGGTTGCCCCTTGCTGCCGCCGCTGCTGTCCTCCCTCCCTCCTCAGCATCTGGTGATCAGTCATTTTGTCACCTGTGATTGCGTCACCCCACATGTCGGTGCGGCTGTTCCAGTCCTCCTCCTCCTCCTCCTCTTCCTCCTCCTCCTCCTCCTCCTCCCTCCTCCTCCTCCTGCTCTCCTCCTCCTCCTCCCTCCCTCCTCCTCTCCTCCTCTCCTCCTCCTCCTCCTCCTCCCTCCTCCTCCCCCCTCTCCTCCCTCTCTTCCTCGCCTGTTCCGCTCCCTCCTCTCCTCTCCCCTCCTCCCTTCCTTCTCTTGCTCCTCTGTTCCTCCTCCTCCTCCTCCTCCTCCTCCTCCTCTGTTCCCCCCCTTCCTCCTGCTGAAGATCCTTGTCCTGCCTCCGCCTGCCCGCACATAATCTTCCCACGGCCTCCTCGGGGCCGAAACCCAGCCTGCCCGATGATCCGTGCTGTCCAGGCGTTCGCTTCGAATGCGCACGACATTGCGCACTCTTTCCCGGCTCTCCTGCGGAGTCCAGTCGGACCTGAGCCAGAAGAACATCCATCAACAGCATGAGACCCTCCGTCGGCAAAAACAAACGGTACCCTCCCCAGGATGCACAAGAACATCCAACAACCACGAGGAACACTAGGGCACCCTCCCCGAATTGACATCGATCTTGTACCTCGGTCCGACTGTCGGGTCCTCGTTTTCTCCCCGCCGCGCCGCATGCGCGGCCTCCTTCTCCTCCAGCCTCCCGCCGCCTCCTCCTCCTTCCCGCTGCTGCCGCGATGCTGCCTGCCGCATGCGGCTGTTGCTCAGCCATTGTTGCCGTTGCTGATGCCCGCATGCCCGCTTTGGCACGCCATCACACGGATCATGCTCCGTAGGGAGCTCCAACTTCGGCTCCACTGGGCGCGCCGCATGGTGTCTCCGCCTCGGTTTGGAACACCCTGGATCCTGCCTTCGAGGAGCTCCAAGATACTCCAAGTACAGCCTCGCTGGGCGCTCAAGCGTGGCGCCCCGCCTCCGTCCGGCACACCCCTCACACGCATCGTGCCCCACCAGGAGCTCCAAATACAGCTCCAACTGCTGTCCTTGCCTGGCGCCCTCGCTTCGCACACGGATCGTACCTCATAGAAACCTCAGGCTACGGCTCCAGTTGACCCGCACACGCGACGTCTCCGCCTAACTGTGCACACTCTTCGCACGGTCTTGCCCCGTAGGGAGCTACAATCACAGCTCCAGTGGGTGTGCTCAGATGGCGTCCCCGCTTCAAGTCGACACACCCCTCACACGGAGTGTGCCCCAAAAGGAGCTCCAAACACGGCCCCAATGGACGCGCCCACATGCCGCCGCCACGCTCATTTCGGCACACCTTTCAAACAGACCGTGCCCTTTGGGGAGCTTCCATCACCGCCTCCGCCTCTATTCGGCATAATCCTCAAACGGATTGTGCCCTGATGGGCACGCCTGCGGGGCGTCCCCGCCTAGATCCGACACATCCTCACACGAATCGTGCCCCACAAAGAACTCCAAATACGGCCTCAGTGGGAGCGCCTGCGTACACTCTCTGGGCTCATTTCGGCGCACCTCTTTTACGCGAGAGTTCCCAACTATGGTACCAGTAGGCACACCCGCATGGCGTGCGCGCCTCAGTTCGGCACACGCCTCACATGGATGGTGCTCCGTGGGAAGCTCCAACGAGCCCTGAGGCGCGCTCCCATGGCGACTCCGCCTCAATTCGGCACACCGTTCACGCGTACCGTGCTCCATAGGGGGACCCCAGGCGGTTCCACTGGGTGTGCATGCACACGCGTCGCCACGCACATTTCGGTGCACCCATCACACAGGTCGTGCCCCAGATGGAGCTCCAACCACGGCCTCAAGGGGTGCGTCCACATAGACACGCTCATGTCATCACATCTCTCACACGGATCGTGCCGCAGAATAGGACTGCAATTACGATGCGAGTGCACATCGCGCAAATTCTGCGAGTAGGCCTCCTGCTTCATAGGGAGGTCCAACTACGACCACAATGAACGCGCACGCATAGCGTCGCCAGGCTCGACTCCTCGTTCTCGCGGTGTGCGCAAATGATGAGAGGGCCACCAATCCCACCCTGAAATATAACGCATTTGCATACTGTTGGGTCCTTCGCTAAACGAATTTTCAGCCTCAGGCTTCCCTGGCTATGACCGCATTGCATCACTACTTTGGGAGACGAGGTGTGCCATGGATGGTAAGACCGAGCGAGAACCATTCTAGGCGATCTTGCAATCATTCTCAAGTTCACGTTTCAATTTCTGATGGGGTTGCACGACGCGAGTGCCCTGCCCGAGCTGACGTCGTTGTATCACATCGTTGCCGATCGTACATGCCAGCGCCCCTGGGGCCGGCCGCCGTCGGCCGCATGGCGCCCCGAAGCGCAAGCAGGTTTGCGGACGAGCCCTCCGATGCCGCAGCTGGCCCAGTTCCACAAGGAGGGCGGAGCAGTCGACCTGTCCCCCGTGGGGCGCGTCGGGGCTGACCCCGTGGCGTCTTGCGAAGGCGTTGTCGCGGAACTGTGCGACCTGCTCTTGCGTACGGGGTGCGCGTGGACCTGAGCCCGAGGCACTTTGTGAACTGCTGTGCCATTCGGGGTGCGCGATGCGAGGGGCAGGATGCACTGGGCGTTGGGTTCCGTGGACATTCTGTGACCCCTTGTGACGGGCAGTATGTGCTGGGGCCTAGCCCGGCGGCGCTTCGCGACGCGTTGTGACGGACGGGATGCGCTGGGGATTGGATCCCTTGCCATTTTCTGACGGGGCGCGTTTGGGCCTGGGGACCGCGGCACACTGTGTGGCGCGCTGTGACGGACGGGGTGCGCTGGGGCCAAAGCCCCGTGGCACTTTGGGGCCAATGACCCGGGGCACTTTGTGACCCGACCATTCGTGACAGACGGGGGACGCTGGGGCCTCGGGCCCCGTGGCTTTTGGGGACGCGTTGTGACGAACGGGACGCGATGGGGTTTCGGCCTCGTGGCAATTCGGGGCCCGTTGTGATGGACGGGATGCGTCCGAGCCAGGGGCCCCCATGGCACATTATGACCCATTGTGGCGGATAATTTGCGCTGGGGCCAAGGCTTCCTGGCACTGCGTGACGCGTTGTGGCGGACGGGATGCGCTGGGGCCTGGGCCCCGCAGAACTTTACGACCTGTTGTGACGGATGGGATGCGCTAGGGCATGGGCCTCTTGGCACTGTATAGTCGCATTGTGATAGAGAAGGTGCGCTGGGCCGAGGCCCTGTGACTTCCTGTGACGCGTTGTCACAGACGGGATGCGCCGGGTCCTGGGCCACGCGGAACTCGAGGACCCGTGGTGGCGGATGGGATGCGCTGGGGCCTCTTGGCACTTTGTGCCGCATTGTGACGGGAAGGGTGCGCTGGGCCGAGGCCCTGTGACTTGATGTAGCGCATCGTGACGGACGGCATGCGCCGCGCCCTGGGACCATGGCACTCCAAGCCAGGTGCCAGAACCTGGTCAGCGCAAAACAAATCCAAGAGCTTCTGAAGATTTCTCGGAAGTCCTGGTGAAACTCACCGGAGACTTTCTGGAGGTGCCCCAGAGACCCTCTAGAGATCCAAACAGCTTCCTAAACACTGCACGGAAGCCTATGAGGCGCGTTGGCGGGATGGGCTGCATGATATTGAGGGATCCGATACCCTTTCGGACGTCCTCCCACCTGGGGGGCAGAGGTAGCGCGAGTCCCCCACAACCACACATACTTCTAGCGATTCTGTTGGTCCATGTGCCTTTCGAGCCTCCATTGCCTCTGATTTGCAACACTCTGAAAAACAGCAGCGCGGGAATGGAGATATTATCATGAAGCTATACTGGGACACTGGGAGAAACATGACACACATATACACAAGCACATTGACACATCTACGTGTATGTAATACATGACACACATATGGACACACATGTTGCACGTAGTATACGAACGGGGAGAGAGAGAGAGAGAGAGAGCAGGGGGAAAGAGAGAGAGAGAGAGTTACACATATAATTTTATAGAACAAGCAAAACAACTAAGCAGCGGGCCGAGATGCTTGTACGGGGCCAATGTCGAAGAAATGTAGGCTTTGACTTGGTCTTCCGTAAGATTGCTGCTCGCTTTCCTGACAATGAAAGCCTTCGGCGTCTCGCCGTCTCCTTCCCGCTTTGCGGGCACCCCGATGATAGCAGCGTCCTCGATCTCTGGGTGCTTCAAAAGAAGGCCTTCAATTTCCGCTGGTGCGACCTGCTCGACTTCTTTAAAGTCGGGCGCAAATCATACTTACCCTCTGGTCACGCTGCGCACTCTGCCCGTGCAAAGCTACAAAGAGCGTACGAAGAGATTTGCAGCTGCCACCTCTCCCAAGAAGCTGGAACAACGACGAACGCGGACGAGCGGCAGATGCTCGCCTTCCGCGCTCCCGACAGGCAAGGGCTACCCAACCTTTGAGAGCATCTGCCTGCATTCCCGTCCATTCGTCTGGCCGGCTGTGTAGGCAAAATGCGAAATTTGATGCCTTGGATGGCGACTTATCCAAACCCTTACGAACTGGCCTGCTTGCCAGACTGTCTCCAGCGGCACCCCGAGCTGACACTCTCCAGAACGCCCCTAGCATCTCTGGGCAGAGACGCTCTCATCTCAGGGCTGCCAACTATAATGGTATAGCGGACCGTCTGGCGAGTGCTATCGGGCAATAGGACGCGTCCTGCCGAACGCACCCCTGACCATTGCATGTCAAGATGATCCCCCAAAAATGCCAACGATAATTTTACACACATTAAGCAAGCATGCATATGCACACGCCAGCACGCGGCTATACATGACGCGAGCATAGCCGAACACGTGCCCGTGCACACGAGACATTATATACATATTGCCACGTATAGGTGGAGTGTGCTGGACTGCTAAGTCCTTCAGCTGCCTCATTCTACCGAACGCTGATCGAACGATCCGTCGACACCGCCGCGAAGCCGAGAACAATACCAAGTGGTGAATTCTGGACATGAGTAGCGTGCTGCTGAAGATGAGAGCCCTCTTTGGTTGGTTGCCTTGCGACCCTTACTACAACAATAGTGTCTGCCAATGGCAATGATTCGTAGTCGTGTGACACCTCGAAAACTTGGATTGGTGCTCACGTGGAAATGCTGGATCCCCACGGCAAATCATGTCACTGATTTCACCGATGCTCGGCAACGGGTGCTAATCACAAACAGACCGCTGTGCTACATTTGTGGCTCTAAATCAGCGCTCACCTGGAAGCCCTTCACCTTGATCAGCTCCTTTAGACGATCAATGATGAAGTAGTCGCCGTCCTCATCTACGTAGCCGATGTCGCCAGTATGTAGGAATCCCTGCGTCGGCTTTCTGTGCAGGCGAGCGGGAAGACAGCAGGCAAGCACTCGTAGGCTGATCGTCCGAATTGCCTCCGAACGCATGTTGTATGATCATTCGTGTCTAGGGAAGCACTGTCGAGCCCAACCCCCTCCCTCAGTGCGCAGTGTGATCCGACGTGCTTTCCCCGATCCTTCTCATGCGTGAGGAGGCGTGGCGCGTCTGGGCCACATGATAATCAGAATCGCTGCTCCTTTGGACCCCTGGGACAAAGCTGGACGGGTAGAGGCAAAAACGCCTCTCGCGGTCTAACACTCGAACAATGTTACTCTCTCTCTCTCTGTCGCAGGTTGGGGGGTGAGATCGCAATGGAACGGAGACCCCCAACCGGGAAATCGTTTCGTTTCGTGCGTGTCGTGCGTACGGGCGAGGCGAAGCTGCGTGGGCGCGCGAGAAGAATGAACCCGCCGTTGCTAGGGCGAAGTCAAGAAAAATGATTACCCCCCGTCCGTCCGTCCGTCCGGCGGTGGCCCTAGCCGTGTCCCGCGGTGTCCCGTGGTGTCCGCCGCTGCTATGGCGAAGTCAAGACAAATAATTCTCCCCCGCCCGCTCGCCCGTCCATCCGTCCGGCGGTGGCTCGCGGTGTCCCGTGGTGTCCCGTTGAGTGAGATCGATAGTGAGATCGATAGTGAGATGGATAGTAAGATCGATACTGAGATCGATGTGGTGCCCGGAGGTGTCCCAAAAAGTGAGATCGAGAGTGAGATCGATAGTGAGATCGACAGGTGTCCCGTGGTGTCCCGTTGAGTGAGATCGATACTAAAATCGACAATGAGATCGATAGTGAGATCGACGTGGTGTCCCGAGGTGTCCCGTGGTGTCCCAAAACATGAGATCGATAATGAGATCGATAATGAGATAGACAAGTGTTCCGTGGTGTCCCGTGGTGTCCCGTTGAGCGAGATCGTTAGTGAGATCGATAATGAGATCGATGTGGTGTCCCGAGGTGTCCCGTGGTGTCCTGTGGTGTCCTATGGTGTCCCGTTGAGTGAGATCGATAGTGAGATCGATAGTGAGACCGATAGTGAGATCGACAAGTGTCCCGCTGTGTCCCGCGGTGTCCCGTGGTGTCCCGTGGGGGCCCGTGGTGTCCCGTTGAGTTGGCTCGCGGTGTCCCGCGGTGTCCCGCGGTGTCCCGCGGTGTCCCGTGGTGTCTCGTTGAGTGAGATCGGTAGTGAGATCGGTAGTGAGATCGATAATGAGACCGAATCTGAGATCGATGTGGTGCCCCGAGGTGTTCCGTGGTGTCCCAAAAGTGAAATCGATAGTGAGATCCATAGTGAAATCGACAGGTGTCCCGTGGTGTCCCGTGGTGTCTTTAAAATGATATCGATAGTGAGATCGATAGTGAGATCGATGTGGTGCCCCGAGGTGTCAGGTGGTGTCCCAAAAAGTGAGGTCGATAGTGAGATCGATAGTGAGATCGACAGGTGTCCCGAGGTGTCCCGTGGTGTCCCGTGGTGTCTTCTGAGTGAGATCGATCGTGAGATCAATAATGAGATCGATAGTGATATCGATGTGGTGTCCCGTGGTGTCCTGTGGTGTCCTATGGTGCCCCATTGAGTGAGATCGATAATAAGACCAATAGTGAGATCGAGAGGTGTCCCGCGGTGTCCCGTGGTGTCCCGTTGAATGAGATCAAAAGTGGGATCGATAGTGAGATCGACAAGTGTCCCGTGGTGTCCTATGGTGTCCTGTCGAGTAAGATCGATAGTGAGATCGATTGAGTCAGATGTTAGTTCCCCCCCTCTCCCCCCCCCCACAACCTCCTTATCACCCGAAGGGTGGTCGGAGGTTGGGGGGTGAGATCGCAGTGGAACGGAGACCCCCAACCGGGAAATCGTTTCGTTTCGTTCGTGTCGTGCGTGCGGGCGAGGCGAAGCTGCGTGGGCGCGCGAGAAGGTGAACCCGAAGTTGCTAGGGCGAAGTCGAGACAGATGATTCTCCTTCGTCCGTCCGTCCGTCCTGCGGTGGCCCTAGCGGTGTCCCGCGGTGTCCCGTGGTGTCCGCCGTTGCTAGGGCGAAGTCAAGACAAATGATTCTCCCCCGCCCGCCCGTCCGTCCGTCCGGCGGTGGCTCGCGGTGTCCCGCGATGTCCCGTGGTGTCCCGTTGAATTAGATCGATAGTGAGATCGATAATGAGATCGACAGGTGTCCCGTGGGGTCCCGCTGAGTGAGATCGATACTAAAATCGATAATGAGATCGATAGTGAGATCGATGTGGTGTCCCGAGGTGTCCCGTGGTGTCCCGTTGAGTGAGATCGATAGTGAGATCGATAGTGAGATCGATAATGAGATCGATAGTGAGATCGATGTGGTGTCCTGCGGTGTCCCGTGGTGTCCCGTTGAGTGAGATCGATAGTGAGATCGATAGTGAGATGGATGTGGTGTCCCGAGGTGTCCTACGGTGCCCCGTTGAGTGAGATCGACAGTGAGATCTATAATAAGACCGATACTGAGATCGAGGGATGTCCTGCGGTGTCCCGTGGTGTCCCGTGGGGGCCCGTGGTGTCCCGTGGTGTCCCGTTGAGTTGGGTCGCGATGTCCCGCGGTGTCCCGTGGTGTCCCGTGGTGTCCGCCGTTGCTAGAGCGAAGTCAAGACAAATGATTCTCCCCCGCCCGCCCGTCCGTCCGTCCGGCGGTGGCTCGCGGTGTCCCGCGGTGTCCCGTGGTGTCCCGTGGTGTCTCGTTGGGTGCGATCGATAGTGAGATTCATAGTAAGATCGATGGTGAGATGGATGTGGTGCCCCAAGGTGTCCCGTGGTGTCCTAAAAAGTAAGATCGATACTGAGATCGATAGTGAGATCGACAGGTGTCCCGTGGTGTCCCGTGGTGTCCTATGGTGTCCCAAAAAGTGAGATCGATAATGAGATCGATAGTGAGATCGACATGTGTCCCGTGGTGTCCCAAAAAGTGAGATCGATAGTGAGATCGATAGTGAGATCGACAAGTTTCCTGTGGTGTCCCGTGGTGTCCCGTTGAGTGAGATCGATCGTGAGATCGATAGTGAGATCGATGTGGTGTCCCAAGGTGTCCCGTGGTGTCCTATGGTGTCCCGTTGAGAGAGATCGATAGTGGATCGATCGTGAGACCGATCGTGAAATCGAGAGGTGTCCCGCGGTATCCCGTGGTGCCCCGTTGAGTGAGATCGATAGTGAGATGATAGTGAGATCGATAAGTGTCCCGTGGTGTCCCGTTGGGTAAGATCGATAGTGAGATCGATTGAGTCAGATGTTGGTTTCCCCCCCTCTCCCCCCGCCCCAAAACCTCCTTATCACCCGAAGGGTGGTCGTATAGGTATTTATTTGTATATCATCCCGTAGCTTCAGTCGACGCATGCTTCCGACGTCGTGATCTTCTCACAACGCGGGCACTCCAAGCTCCGACCCGATCTCTGGACCCGGGTCTTCTTCTGCGCGGGTCGCTTCTTGATGACACCGCGTGCCAGAACATGCCCCCTGGGTCCTCTTCCTCCACGTTGACATCTGGACCTGCCACAGAGCGCGTCCGAGCGCGACACGGCGCCCGGAAGGCCTCCAGATGTGGAATGCGTCAGCATATCTGACTCAGAACCCCGCCCCACCTCTCCTCCTCCTCCTCCTCCTCCTACTTCTCCTCCTCATCCTCCTCCTTCTCCTTCTCCTCTTCCTCCTTCGCATCCTCTTGCTTCTCCTTCTCCTTCTCCTTCTCCTCCTCCTCTCTTTCGCACGCTCGAAATGGGTACGGAAATAATGGATACAATGCCCAACAGCACATGTTGTCCAAAACTGACGGCGGCCGCTGTTGGGAAGAAGCGAACGCGCACAGTACCATACCAATCACGTGTGAGGCAGCATGAGTGCTACATAGGTAATCACAGCACGCATACCGCGGGCCCAGCGCTGATCAGACATACTTCTCGCATTGATGCAAAACACAACCCAAGCACAAAAACGCAAGCGCCTGCGCATCAATGATGGTCTTGTCCGCGTCGGGATGGTTCAAGTAACCTGGCTTTGACTTCGTCATGCCGCTGAAAGGCAGCTATGGCGTCCCGCCAATCTACGCTCGCCGTCCCTAGTCCATCGGAGCCAACTTACCTGTTTCACTTCTTGCGGTTTTGACATCCACTCTGTTACTCCGGAGCTTCTTTGTTCTAGACGGAGCTGTATCAAAGACACTTTGCACGTACATCCAAACTCTCGACCATGCCTGGGAAGACCGTGACATTTCATTCACCTGTCGGACATCGTTTCGAGTCTAATGCGTCGGCCACTCGTGCACTGTTTGAGCATCCTGGAAACATCAGGTCTTATCCTTCGTCTCTTGACCCTGCAAGTTCCATCATCCTCTGAGAGCAAATAGCTTAGAGAGACACAGAGAGAAAGAGAAAAAAAACACATCTTCCAAACCCCTTCTGCCCTTCGGGGAAGGTCTTCCCCATCCCCCTACCACACGCCGGAGGACTTCCCTCCCCTCCAAGCGATACCTCCTGTGGGCCTCGTACCGCCAGCCACTGAGTTGTTCGGTAACCTCGATAGAGAGCCGAAGCCCCCGAAGCCCAGGCTTGTCTCCAGTGGTCGTCCTCACCGAGTGCTTGGAACGGGGCCCGTTGGAGGAGCATCCAGTGCGCCCGTTGCTTCAACACTGAGCGTGCTCCTGGCAAGCGTACAATTCTCCCCAACTTTGTAGAATGTACATACACGGAATTCAAACAAATCGCCCTCACACGCTTCACGTTTGCAAGGTGATCGAAACGGGTCTCCCAATTTCTTTTGAAGTGCAAATGGGCCCTGGAATCCGGAACAACCCCGAACGTTGGGGGGCCCGTTGGATAAGATTTACACCCAGCAGCGTCGCCAGATGTTGTCAGGCAAACTCTCCTGACACAAGGACCAGCACGATTCCCACCCCTGGCCCCTCGCCCCTGAGTGCCCCAAAGGGGGCGAGTGGTGGAGCCTGCTAGGGAATTCGTTAATGCCCAATCTCTTTTTCTTGAGAAGCCCTCTCGTTCCTAGAATGGTGGGGTGATGAGAGAGCCACTGGAAAAGAGGGCTGCTTGGGGGCCTCTTTGGGGCGTCTTCTTTGGGGCGTCTTATACGGGGTCCTCGGCAGTCACGGCCTTTCCCCGGGGCCGGCATTCCATCATAGTGCAGGTTTGGAGGTTCTGGATAAGTTTGGGGCCCCTGACTGTGGGTGGCCAAAGGCTGTGGGCCAGACCCTGGCGCTGCAGCGGCGTCCCTGCGCAGCGTTGCTTGACGATCGCGGCGCGGGCTCGGCCGCGGCTCCTTTCATGATGTTGGGCCCTCGCAGCCAGAGCTCCCCAGCCTCCGTGGGGCCGACTCCCCTGGTCTTCCCCGTGTCCACGTCCACGATCTTGCACTCCTCGCGGCGGGCCGAGAGCCCACGGGACCCCGCGTGCTTGGAAGATCGGGACGTCGGGGAAAGCGCTCGTTCCGTCTCGGCACGGGGGGGGCCGTCCAAGGTTGACGACCACTCACGGTCTGCGCAGCCCCCCGACGGCGGAAACGGTTCGAGATCGAACGCTTCACGCCTCGAGTACGAGGTCGGCTGCACCACTGATTTACACAGAATTGTTTTCGTCGAATCTAAGACACAGATGCTAGTCGTGGATCCACGAACACTCTACGCATCTTTCGTAGACTCGCCAAACATGTCAAGTTTGGGGTGCATCAGGTCTGTGATCGGTCTCCACGAGCGGGCGCAAGGGCGCGTGGGACAACGCGGTTCCGACATCTCGTGGGGCTTCCCGCATGCCCCCTGGGGCTTCCCGTGTGCCCCCCCTGGGCTTTGCCGAGTGGTGGCGCGTCACTTTGTCGGGCCCAAGAGGGCCCCAAGACGAGCCAAGAGGGCCCCAAGAGGCCCCGAAGACGGCCCACGAGGGCCCCGAGTCGCCGAAAGATCGGTCTTGGGCCTCGAAGTCGCCCCAAGAGGCCTTCAGCAGGCCTCCCAAGTGTCAGTGCAGTTGTTTTCAGCAAAGACCGCGCGGCAGTCCAACTGCGGGTGCGTCCCAGGGCCCTAGGACTAGGGCCAAAACAGCGGCGGGCAGCGTGCATGCCACAAAACAAGACAAGCGTGTACAACATACACACATGGTGGCACGGGCGGCAGAGGGGCAGGGGAGTGCACTCTTCACACTGGGTGAGTACAATGCTGCCCCGATGCCGCTCCCTCTGAAAGGGCAACGCTGCACGCAATTATAATGTATATCAGCCCACGGGCCGAAACACCTCAAGCAGATGCGGCCTGAGGCTCGAAATATAAATATGAATGTCTAGATTCACCAATCCAGACTGTCAACTCAAAAGATATGCATGAGACACCTCAAGCAAGGTGCGGCCTGAGGCTCAAAATATAAATACAAGAATATGAATATCTGGATACACTACTCCAGACGATCAACTCAAAGGATATGCATACATCACCGTAGCTCTCACTAGGTCCATCAGCAGCTGCAATCAGGACCTCACGGGCTCGCAGGCCCTGGAACGGCGACCCGACGCTGGGCCTTCCGCTCCTTGGCTCGCTCACGCTGTCCGCGGCGCAGCCGCAGACGGTGTGCCTCCTCATCCTCTTGCTCAGCAGTAGGCACCATGCTGAACAGGCCGTGGCGGAGGAACTGCGATAGTACCTCGTTAGGCTGCACGGCTTTTGTCAACACATCCGCTAGCATGTGGCTATTAGGCAGCCACTTGAACTTGATGGCCTCCTGCTCTATCAAATCCTTGGCCACCAGCAAGTCAATGAGGGTCTGCCGAGACACCGGCATCGACCCGATCTTGGACGTGTGATCGTAGAGCGACTTCGCATCCGTCACGAGCGCCCCTGGAACCTTCAGCGCCAGCCTCCAGTCCCCTTGCAAGGGCGGCTCCCCGTACAAGATTGCCTCAATCAGCAGCCTGAGGTAAAGCTGCCGATCCAAAGCCACGGACATAGCCGCAGATTCTGCGGCCATCGTAGATCCAACAACTCGTGTAATAGTACTGCTCTGAAACTCCACTAGACAGCATACGGTTAGCTCCTTCAAAACTCGGGTGTCCGTAATCATACTCATGAACCCCATCTGGCTCTTACAGCCGGGTTCCTTCGCAAACGAAGCGTCCATAAGCGTGAGCACCTGCAAGCGCTCGATGTCCACACGGCGGATCCGGAGAGTCGCAAGACCTCTCTTGTCGTAGTCCTGAAGCCGGTCGATGATGTCATTGAGCACTCGCAGGTGCAGCAACCTCCGACCTTTCGGATCCTTCTGTGCGAGCGCCGAGACACTATACGCGAGTTGTGGCACCACGCGTGCGACAGGCCACCGCACCTTCTGGAGCAAGCTCCGGTAGTCGTGGTGCTCCTCGGGAGTCATCTCCCGCTCCTCGTTGTCACCCCTTGCAAGGGGGTGCTTCGTCAGCTTGCCGATGTACTCGTGCATGCTGATCTCGATGTGATCAGGGTGGCGCCACCACTCCTCACCGAGATAGGCGATTGCCTCCTTGTCGTTGCCCTTCTTCCAGTGCTTGATGTTGAAACGACTGTTGATGTTCGCCTTCACCTCCTGGTACTGGGGATCGTGTGGGTCTCCAAACAGCATGCCGTCATCGACGTGCAAGGTCAACATAGCGATCAACTTGTCTTTCATTCGATAAACGAAGACAGCTCGAGCACAGCGCAGCTCCACGAAACCGACCTCGTCCGTCAACACCTGGCGGGCTCGGAGATACCACAACCGAGGCGCCTCAGTCAGACCGTACGCCCCTTTCAGCAAGCGCAGCAACGCATAAGGCCGCACGGCTGGCCATCCAGCACCGTCGACGGCTGGAAGCCCGTCCTTAGGAGCCCTCACATACAGCTCCCGTTCCAGCTTCAGCCCGGACAGGAACGCAGTCGCTACGTCGAAACATTCGAATGTCCAATCCATCGCCATTGTGATAGACGCACACACCAGCACAGCCAAAGGGGAAGTAGTAGGCGAATCCGTCCTGAATAGACCAAGCTGCGGATCGAGATGGCCAGGGATGATCAAGCGAGACTTCGCCTCCAGCTCCGGCCCTCGTCCCCGGTTCGTGCGAACCGAACGCATGGGCACCGAGATGATCTTGTCCTTCGGGATGCTCTTCTCCTCCTCCTCGGTGACCAGCTCGACCGTGTTGTTGGCGATCCATTGCCGCCACTCGGCGGCATCGGCCTCGTCGAACTTAGCCTTCTCGTGCTGGTTGAAGTGACGTGGGTCTAGCTCCTTCGCGTTCTGCTTCATCACGAGTGCGAACACGTCGTGCTCGTACCTGGCCTCCTGCAGCCATGCGTCATACACAGATGACACGTTGATCCATTCTTCGTAAGTCATCGGCTGTCGTACAAGCCCCTCCGGAGTGTCCAAATAGTACACCCCTTGTGCATGAGCGTCCGGCTTGTCGTGGTAGAAAAGCGTGAGACCAACCCAGCTGTCCTCCGTGCGCTCGTTGGTACGGTTCGCGCCGTCGTCCTTGTAGGCACACTGGCCCGTAGCGGAGAGCATCACCGAGAGGCGATTGCACTCCCGGTGGCGGTCGTGATCATAGAGTCTCCGCCGTGGCTCTCGGTGTACACGTACTCCTCGTACGACCTTCTGAACGAGCGTGGAGACACCATCCAAGGCATTCTGGTCGAACCACTCCTGAGGCCCCGAGTGCACAACGGCGTTCATGGCCACTTCGCGGAGGGCCGGCAAACCACTCGTAGGAGCAGCCTGCAGACGCGTCTTCTTGATGCAAATCGGCACGTCATCTACCAGGAACTTCCGTTTTCGCTCAAGCTCGAAATCGTCTCTGGGAATCGGCGGCACCGAAGGGCCGCCAGAGCCCGATGCTCCCGGAGAGGCCTTCGGGTACACCTCAGAGGATATCCGCCCTGGAGGGGAACGAGAACGTTCCCTCTTCGGAGGGGGAAGCTGCGGCAGCTGCTGCTGCTCAGGCGGCTCCTCCTCCTTGGCCTGTGCCTCAATGGCGTCCAGGGCCCTCAGGTCCACACGAGGCTGCCTGGACCCCTCGAGCTCCCCATGTCGGTCACGCTCCTTCTTCAAGAACGTCTTCTTCACCTTCTGAACCTTCACCTTGGGCGTGACGTCCACGATGTCGTGGTAAGCGCGGTCATCTCGCTGCTGTGTCAGTCGCACGTCCGTCTGGATGGACTCCGCAGCTGCGGCCTCCTGGGAGGAGGCGTGCCGGAGCTGCTCACGAGCAACAAGTAGCACGTGACCACGCCAGGATACGTAGTAACGGCTGTTGGACTCCTTCGCGATCACAGTCGCAGGACCCCGCCATCTTTCAGGATCTTGCCGACGACGTCCCTTGAACGGATTCGGTGCCCAGAAATACACCCTCGATCCTGGGCACAGATCACCGACGACCGTCGGCGCCTGTCGTAGCAACGCCCTCCGCACCTTGTCCGTCGCGTCGCGCTCCAGCAACATCATCTTTGCTGCGGTGCGGATTTGGGACGAACGCCAAGCTATGCCCTTGGCGCCGAGGACCGACATGAGAACCTCATCGTCGTCCCTGTTAGTCACCTCCGTAAAGTTCAAGATCCGCCCGAAGACAGCCTGCTCCGGGGTCAATCCATTGCGGCTGATCGTGGAGTTTTTCGCATTGATGATGGCAGCCAGGGCCACAGTAGACATCGACTTGCCCTGGACGTGGAACTCGTGCACCACCTTGCCCCAGATAGTGCCGAGCAATCCTCCGTGGCGCTCGGCCAGGCCATGCTGCCATGCTGCATGAGCTCCCGTCGTCTTCGTATTAATGCCGAACTGCTCCATCAACGCGTTGAAGTAGCCCTCGAACTCGCCGCCCTGATCGATCACGATGTTTTCTGGCACGCCGTAATGCTTGAACCACTCGTTCATGATCTGGCGTGCTACGTGCTTGGCCGTCCTATTCTTGAGAAGGCAGGCGCAGCGCCATCCCGTACCGGCATCCACCATGCTGAGGACCACCAGCTGCTCCTTGGCCACGTCCCGTAGGTACTTCACGTCGATCACAACCGTCACATTGAAGCCGAATGGTCGCACATCCGCCGTCCCTTGCACCGGACGGGGCGGCGCCTCCGACTCAGCACAAGTCGGACACTGCCAATGCTTCGCGTATGCCAACGCGTTAGGTGTGGCACCGCCGAGACGCAGCATCTTGATGAACGTCGGTCGGCTGGGGTGTCCAAGACCGCGATGGGCCTTGCGCACAGCACGTCGCGTACTTCGCGGAATCTTCATCATGATGTCCTGCCGCACCACCTCTGGAAGCTCCATTTCTGACCAGGAGGCTGCAACCTCCTCCTCCTCCGCAGGGTGCTGCATGGACTCCTCCTTCACCGTCTTCTGCAGTGCCTCGCGAATCTCTGCTCGA